AGGGGCTGGAAAGAGGTATTCCAAGTCATGAAATCCAAAGACCTACAACCAAGATTGCTCTATCCAGCAAAACTTTCATTTAGAATGGAAGGACAGATAAGGTGCTTCTCAGATAAGATCAAATTCAAGGAGTTCATCATCACCAAGCCCTTATTATATGAAATGTTAAAGGGACTTATCTAAGAAAAAGAAGCTAAAGAAACATGAACAGTGAAAGGACAACAAACTCACAGTTATTAACAACCACACCTAAAACAAAAGCAAACTAAAAGGACAGCTAGGTCAGGAGTGGAAACATAGAAATGAAGATCTCAAGAAGGGTTAGCAACAGGGGAGTGGGAGGAGGAGAAGGGGGGAGAAGGTACAGAAAATAAGTAGCATAGACAGTAGATAGAAAATAGATGGGGGGGCAAGAATAGCATGGGAAATATAGAATCTAAAGGACTTGAGACACATGGTCATAAACTAAAGGGGGGGTAATGGTGGGGATGGGGAGTAGGGTGGAGGGGAATGAAAGGGGGAATAGAACAACTGTAACAGCATAATCAATAAAAAATTTAAAAAAAAAGAAGGAAATAGGGAAGAAGAATAAAATAAATAAATAAATAAATAAATAAATGTCTAACTGAATGGAATCCCCTTGCCATAAAACCCCCGGGCCTTCTATTTACGCAGTGTATCTTAGACTTGATAATTAGCACACAGGAGGTTTGGGAAAACAACTCATTTCATCCACTATAGACGTGCAAAATGAATCTCAGTCACTCACTGCTCAAGGGGGCCAGCCCAGCCCGTCAGTGCCTCAGTCTACAGACCTCCAACGTGCACTTCTGACAGACCTCCAAAGTTCACGTGGAAGACAAGACTTGTTTGCCTTTGAAACAAAGTTGAAGAAGGAAAAAATGCTACTGCCTCTTCAGCTTGGCAGTCTTTCTAGAACTTTAGGTGGCAGTGGATCAAACAGCAAGGAAGTCAGTAGTAGAAAAAGTTATCACTTTATTCTAGTGAAAGACTCACTTTGCTATATACACAATTAATTAAAAGCAGGGATATGGCTAGAATAAAGAGGACGATTAAAAGTTCTAGTGTAAAAGCTGGAAAAAGTCCGAGTTTGCCTTTGAACAGAGATTTTACTAAGCTCAAACAGAAAGCCTCCTGGGTCAGGACCGGCTTTTCCTAGTGGGCAGGGCCTAATACGCTGAGACGGGCAGGCAGGGGCCATGGCCCCACCCCAGCACCCAGGAGACCCCTCAGTAATCAGTTTCGGTTTCACAGGGTTCAAGCAGCCCAGCCTCTTCCAACGCTGCCGTAATCACTACCCGGGGAATGGCTTTTCCGCCTTTCATCCTTCCCCAGGAAACAAAGCAGCCAGGCCCCTGGTTCCTGGTGCGCTCCCTGCCTCGGCGCAGACCAGCTGCACGCCCGCTGCCTGTTTTTCAGAAGAAGGACAGGCTGGTCCATGTCAACCAGAACACCACCCACAAGCCCTAAATCAAGTCTCAGAATTACACATCTAAGGACAGATTATTTTTCATGTTAAGCTCTCTCAAGTTATGACGATTAACCAAATCACCACCACTGCCAACAACAAAAAATACTCAAAGTTCTTTGGGAACTAAAAATAGGAGGGGGAACACAAAAAACCCGGAATTATCTTCTGGAGGGCGGGCCCCCTGTACCCACTACAGGCTCCCCTGCTGGGTGAGTGTTCCAGGGACCTGTCTGTACCAGTGCACCAACTGGTGGCATCGCGAGAGGCTGCATTCAGCTTCCATGAGTATTTTTTGAAGACTCAATGCCTTTGCCCATTTCATGACGGGTGATTTACGAGCTAACCTGCCCACACCGTGCTGAGTGTTCAGCACTTTTCGACCCAAAACAGCATGACCCCCTGTGCCCCACCCTCCCTACTCACCCAATCTCATCCCAAGTGACTTTTTTTTGTTTCCCCAGATGAAAAAAGTCCTCAAAGGGAAACATTTTGCTGATGTGGAAGAGGTGAAACAAAAAATGGCAGAAGCATTAAAAGGCATCAAAATCAACGAGTTTAAAAACTGTTTAGCGCAGTAGAAAAAATGTCTCCATAGGAGAGTACTTTGAAGGCAACTGAAGTTGAAACAGGTAAGAATACACAATTTTTAATAAATAAATTCTGTTTTGGGGGTCCCCCCATACAGTTTATCCAGCTCTACTAGCCTCTTGACCTTGACCAACTTCATCTCTGTAAGCCTTCATGTCCCGGTCTATAAAATGGGAATGTTACCCCCTACATGGTAGAATCGCTGTGAAATGAAGTTTATATAAAACTCCTACTAAATGCCAGGCACAGAGAAGGAGCTCAGGAGGTGGTGACTACTACTGTCTGTTATGCATTAACACAGCATTTTAGACTTAAGTTGACCTTGAAACCCCCTTTTCAACTAATGCCTGTTAATACCCTAGTGCCACGGTCATCTACTCCCACACATGAGCTGGTGTGCTGTTACTTTAGGCATAATTTGCAAGTCATGTCTTCAAATAGGTTCCATCACCGCCCTGGAAGCAGCTTCCTGAACTGCAGGTGAGGTGTCTTGTACAAAGCCATCAGTCTCGAGAACAACTGTTCAGTGTATCTAAAACTCACCAGGTGTGCTTGTTAAAATGCACACCTCTAGTTCCGCTTTCAGAGACTCTGATTCTTAGGCTGTGACAGAACTTGGAAACCCCCATCTTTAACAAGTTCCCTGCGGGCTGCTGGTTTTCATCTCTCTAAGCCACACTCTGTGAAGCACTGCCGGTAAATTAACAGCTTATGGAACTCTCAAAGGTCTGACGGTGGATGTCACAGTGTCTCTGCTGACATTTCTCAAACTTTTGAGGGGTCACTGAAAATCCACTTCCCCCAAGTGTTACTATTTGCCTACCCCTTGATTTGGCAAATATTTACGGAGCAACAGGCATGCGCCAGACAGTGAGCTGGTTGCCAGGAAAAGGTAAGACCGGCTCCCTATCCTCCCCGAATGCCCAGCAGTGAAGGGATCCTGTAGTAACACAGAAGCCACCGAACTACAGGAATCACCACGAGACTTCAGCGTTCAGTGTATTTGAGAACCATTCTGCATCATTCTACATTTCAGCCACAGTTGTACAGTTGTTTCGTGGGCTTTGCCCGTTGTTGCTCTTCTGCTTACAGTTCACTGTATGTCAATCACACCTCATTATTGAATTGAAAGCTGTTTAAGAGCAAGTCCAAAGAGAGAGACGTGCAGGGCCGAAGTACAAAGCAGTACCTCCCTCCCTCTCTATTTATATAGCTTAATTTAATCTTACATTCAAGTATCTTTTTCCTTTCTCTCTCTGTTGTGGGAAGGTTTATTACGGACTACAACCATCAGTTTTAAACTCTGCCACCACGTAGTTTGTAGAACTCTTCCTCTGACCTCTAAAACTGGGAGAAATAACAGAAGCCTGCAATGATCGCCAACAGTGACCCAGTGTTCTTTTGAAGTACTATTAATGTTACCGCCAGCAAAGGATTAGGACAATAATGGGGAGGGAAAAATGTTAAATGAATCCGTGTCTGCACATATTTCTGAGTACCTGTTATGTGCCACATACTTTTAGGTACCAGTGTTAGGGAAAAAATGCTAAGACTCAGTTCAAGTTAAGTACAGAGGTGTCACGGTAACTTCAGTGTGGCTGATCTCAGGAATGGCGTTGCTCTCTGTATCCAAACTTAAGCAGAAAGGAAGTCTTAAGGAAGAAAACAGAGAGGTGTGCCTGATGGATTGAACAGTTAAGAGAACATCCACATACAAAAATATAAAACTGTAATGTCTTCCAGCATAACTGGCACAAAGAACACCAAGATTTACAGCTTGAAATTCCCCTATGAGAGTCAACAGGGTTGGTCTAGTCTTATAAAATAGCTTATCTCTCAAGAAAACAATTTACAACCAATGGTTATATTAACTAGGTTAAAATAAATACTTGACTTTGACTCTGTTTTTTTAAAAGTAATTTGCTATATATATCAGGAATACATTTAAGTATTAGAAGGCATTTATTAGATTAATAGTAACTGACAAAAACTAAATGCCTACAGCAATATGGGTGACCTCCCGACACTGCCCCACCAATCAGGGGAGAAAGCCTGTGGGGGTGCAACAGGGGAGGAACGGTGTCCTCTCACTCTGCATTGGGAGAAAGGGGGGCCAGGGGAGTCCCAGAGTGGCCCCGGAGTCAGTCCTGCAGGGTCACAAGGAGTTATGCAGTGAGGGGGCCTCCAGGTGCGGGCGCGTCTCACCGTAACGTTGAAGAGAGAGAGAGACAGCTAGAAAACAGGGTCTGAAAACCATCTGGCAGCTTTCTGTTAGTTAATTCTTAAGCATTTATACATACATGATAGAGCACATCATTTTTACCTTGTTAGGAGGCAGTATTAACTCAATTTGTAAGAAAACAGCTCAAAGTCAATGCTTAGGTTTGAATTCTTGCTCAGAGTCTTACTAGCTCTGCGACCTTGGCCAAGTTATGCTACTTCTTTGAGACAGTTTTCACATCCATAAAACAAAGCTAAAAAATAGTAAAACAGTATCCACCTCATTTAATCCCTGTGAGGATTAAACGAGATAGCACGTGTTCTAAACACAGCCCTGTTCAACATTTAATAAGCATTCACTGACTGTTTTGACGTCTGAAAATGGCCACTGTAGTCCCAAACGTTGGATGCAATTTGTTATGTGAGTTTACCTTACGCCCTTTGTGCCATCAAAACTGGTTGTAAGCTGGAATTCACCTGGTAATCAAAACAGAATTTCATTTTGAAAGTATCTTGCAAGACTTCTGTAAGCCTTTAGTACTTTTGCAAGACTGCCCTTTACAGCATACATGTAAAATAAAATAGTTTGAAAATACTGAGACTGTGGGTGATTTTGCATTGTCCTGTTTCTGCCCCGTCTGGGAAGCAGATCCGGTGCCCTGAGAACACTGAGCTAGCAAATAAAACTGATGGTACCTACCTCCTTCTGTACACCTTTAATTTCTGAACACTCCTCTAGTTTTGTTAAAACATCCTGGGTAACCAAGAGTGCATCTGAGAAGATACTTTCATTTTCTAGAAGAAAATTCAGCTGGTATTTCCTCTCTTCCTCTGAATGTAAAATAAAACAAAATTAACAAATCAGCGATTCATTACTTGAAATGACTTTAAAAAGTTTAAGTCACCTGACAACCACTAAGTCACAGACTGTGTGTGTAACCGACACCTAGCACATCAGCTCTGAGTGGCAGAAAAGAGGACTCCGACGCCCTTCTCCATGCGTCCTCTCCCTGGTTAAAGCCACGGCAAGGTTATCAGAAACGGCACAATGTTATTTCAACACTGCTCTTCTGCTCTGCAGTTCAGCTTCAGGCTTCCAACACACAAAAAGGCGTTTTTAAACAAAGAATGCTCCAGTAGGAGCCACACATTGGACTTTGGTACCCTATCTAAGAGCAGCCTTTGGTAGATTTATCAATGAAACGAACCATTCATGAAGATCACGGACTCCAGTAACTGATGACAGGAGGACAGACCACAAAACGGCCCTTACATGAGCATTACCTGGCTCTGCACCGGCCGCCTTTGCCTCCCCAAAGGCTTGTGCGACAGGGGAGGGAGAACTCACTGCAGCGGTATGAGGAGGTTCCCCTGGGGCGTCTGCACCACCTTGCACCTCCTGGGCAGGGGGAGGATCCACACTCATCTCTTGTGCGTCCACGTGGATGGCTTCCTGGGTCCCGACTTTCCCAGAACCCTCTGGGGAAGAGTGAAGCTCTCCCGCCCCCTGGGAGGAAAGGATTTTTACTTCCGGCTTCTCCGGCCCCTCCTTGAGTGACTCAGAGGGTGGTGCAGAGACATCCCTCACCACCTGACCCTGCACGGAGCAGTTCACCAGGCTGGTCAGGAGAGTCTTGCAACTGACAGCCACGTCGAACATCTGGAGGCTGTCGGCTAAGGAGATGATCTTGGAGAAGTTGTGTTTGCCCACGGGCAGCCTGCCGGTGTATACCATCTCCAACAGCAGGGCGAACTCCTCAGGGCTCACCACAGACGCGTCGATGGAGATGGTGTCGGTGTTGTCCAGCAGGGTTTTGAACAGGAGGCTGGCGGCGGCCAGGACGAGTTTGTGGGCCCGGAAGTAAATGGTGCCGATGGAAATGGTGCAGTCACAGAACTGCTGCTCCTTGCACAGCGTGTAGAGCTGCTGCAGCAGCTGCCGGCTGTAGTTGGGGAGCTCCATCACGCCAGCTCTGCCCCAGGACTTCTCTTCTCTCTTTCCAGAACCTGCTCTGAGGATCAGCACTAGATCCTAGACAAACCCAAAAAGGCCGTGTGAATACTCCACAAGAGGCAGGGAAATGCTTCAGATAAAATATTAAAACAAACCAGCAAAAAGGGCAAGTCACTCATTCATTTAACAGATTTTGCTTAATATGAAGGGGCACAGTGCCAAGTATACAAAATTAATGCCGATAATAACCGTCATGTGTTTAACTAGAACAGGACTGTGCTTAGTGCTTCACCTGGATGATCTCCTTTAATCCTCATGACAACTCTATGGAAAAGAGAGTAGTACATCCTCCCCATTTTACCAGTGAGACTGAATGCAAAGGGGCTGCAAGAACAGGCTGAGGGAGAACAGCCGTTCAACAGCATGCTTGCAGTCACTGCTTTCAACGCTGTAAGTAGGTCTAAGTACCTACGTGGCTATATGCATTCCTGCTCCCAATTACTGTATTTTGCCATGTATAATGAGCAATTTTTTGCCCAATTCTTTGAGAGGGAAACAAGAGTGCACTTATATATGGGTAGTACCAAAACATGGGTGCACATTATACACGGCAAATTGCAGTAGTTCTCAGCCAACTAAAGGAGACAGATTTATAAACAGAGACTCATAACACAGCGTCCTCATTTATTCTACCTACCTGCAACATCGTTCACGAGTCCTCATGCTCTCCCCGCCCCCATTAAAATGCATTTCCACTTGTTCCTGCTCTCTTCCCTTCTCCTACTGCCTCAATGGCCTTCCCAGCGTCCTTTGGTCAGATGCCTCTGCATCACTTTGGCCTCTAAAGTTTGGGGTGCTCCGGGACTCAGTGACTCTCTTGCCTCCTATCTTCTCTCACCTGATGTGACAACTGTGAAATCTCTACGTGCAGACCAGCTTTCAGATTTCCATCTCCACTGCAGACCTCTCCTCGGAACTTCAGACGCACCCCTCCAACCACGCACTCAGCATCTCTGCCTGGAGGCCTTGGCGGGTTTCCTACACTTGCATCAAAAACTTCGCTGCCATCCTCCCCACTTCACAGCGATTCCATCCTTCCAGTTGTTCAGGCTAAAAACCTAGAAGTCAACATTGTCTCCTATGTCCTTTTCATACCCCTTATCCAATCCTTTATAAACCCTGTTGGCTATTCCTTTAAAATATATCCAGAATCCAATCACTCATCACCACCTCCACTGGCTCTGCCATGGTCAGTCCAAGCCACCGCCCCCTCTTAGATGGATTACTACACCAATGCCCTAACTGGTCTCCACACCTCCACCCCTTCCCAGCTTTACCCTTACCCTGCTCTAGCTTCAACCCAGTAGTCAGAGTGATCTTTTTAGCCCAAAGCCACATCTTGTCATTTCTTTGCAAAAAGCCTCCACAGTTTTACGTCTCACAGTACAAGCCAAAGCCCAGGTTCTTACAACAGCCTGGATCTGGTCCCGGTCTGGCTGCCGTTAGCTCTGCGACATCACCTCCACTCTCCTCCTCACCAGTTCTGCTCTAAGCGCACTGCTTCCTTGCTGACTTGGGAGCACACCGGGCAAGCTCCTCTTCCAGGTTTCTTCACACGTGCGCCGGACCCCCCCTTCGTCTCCTCCGGGGCTCTGCTCACGGGCCACGTTATTCGCGAGGCCTTCTCTGACCACGTCCTGGAAGCAGCAGCCTCCTCTCCAACCTCGGAACACCGCTCCCTCGCACTCACTTTTTCGAGGTACTATTTACCTCCCACTGACATGTTTGTTACTGTTCATTATGTAAGCTCCATTATGGAAGGACCTCTTTTTAATTTTTTTCTTGTTTTCTATGTCCCAGTACTTAAAATCCTGCCTAACACAAACACTGTTGGTGGGTTGTAGAATGCACAAATGAATGGAAGAAAGTGTAATAATACAGATCTGGACCCAGAAACCCGGTTTAGGGAATAGTAAAGTTCAGGAGTGAAGTTTTGAGCAGGAGCTAACAGCGGACCTGCCTGCAAAAGAGTGGGTACTGAGGAGGTGAAAAGAGCAAGAGAAAAGGCAGCCCCAGCGGGTAAGCTGCCACGAGGCACGCGGGGAAGGAACCGCGAAGGGTTAGAGGGTGGGACTGGAAGGACTTGGGCATGAGTGGAGGAGCAGGGGCCAGGGAGCGTCAGACGACGCAGCTGGAGAGGCAGGCAGGGGCGCGGCCACTTAGAGGTATGTGGGCCATGCCCAGGAGCTTGAATTTATCCTAAAGGCGACGAGGAGCCACTGAAGGGTTTGCAGGGCTTTAAACAGAAAAGTCACATGGTCAAACATGCATTTTAAATATATCATCTAACAAAGATTTGTGCAGAATTTGAGGGGGATAATGCTAAAGACAGGCTCTATTACTGCAGGACTTTAGAGGGAAAAAATTAATGAGGGCTTTGACCAGGAAAGGCGATAACAGAAGACAAAGATACAGCCAAAAATATTTAGAAAGTACAACTGTTGTCACTTAGGGTCTGAGTGGATGTGACTCCCAGGTTCCCAGTGTGGTGAGTGGGGATGGGTGGTGAGGTGACCCACAGTGGGACGAAAGCCACTTCTCAGGCCCTCTTTCCCAGAGCTGGCTGGACCCCATAAAGCATGACTGGCCCTAATTGTTTTCTGGGCCTTTGTCCTCAGGACTAGAAAATTCCTGGAAGCGCCCTGAAGGCGCAGAGGCCCCAGGAACTCGCCAAACAGGACGGACCAGACCACGATTGACCACCACCCGCACCCAGAAGACAACACGGAAACGAGCTGCAGCCGCGCTGAGAAACCCTGCTCTGCAAGCGCCCCCCCCCCCCGTAAAACTCCCAGCCCCGCCCCTCAGGGCTGGTGCCCACTTCTCCCCACCCGGCCCTGTCCCTCCCTCGGGAAAGTAAAGATAAAACCTTTACTCTGCGCTTTCTTCTCTTTGTGAATGCTTTCACAGCTCACCTCACTGACCACCCTAAAAATCGAGATAATACAAGAAAATATAGTTTAGGTAAGGTGACATCTAGTTAAGTTTTGGGTTTGAGGATATACAACAAAATTGTATCATCTCACTAAAAATAAAGCATAAATACGGAAAAAAAAATCTGGCAGAAAGACGTATGTCACTACAACACAGGTCGCCTCGTTAGCAGGATTATGGATAATGCCCTGTCTACTCCACCCTTATTTCTTTATTTTCTACATTTGGAACTGACAGAGAAAAACAGAAATAAAGTGCTTCCAAGTTCCAGTTTCCAGTCTGCCTCGTAAGGAGTTTAGAAGTCACTATGTCGTCCAGACAGTAAGTGAAAACCTAAACAAAGTGAAAAATCAACAGCTCTTTGTAGATCAGTCAGAGAGGTGAGGGTGCAGGCAAAACTGTTGCCCCCCAAACAGAAGAGACAGAGAGGGGAGACCGAGGCTCACTGCTTCCCGGGGCACCAGCGCCGCTAGGGGACCAACACTGGGACCTGCCAACTGCCGCAGGCTCTGCGAGGACAAGTCTGGGTGGTAAAAATTCCAGGGACTCTGAGTCACAGTTTCATGAGATTTACCTCCAGGAGCTCTCTACCCGGTGCTCATAGTGAAGATCGGAGAAAAATTCCCTCCTGCCTCTGGGAGGGGAGGGGGAACAGCAACCATTTCTTAAAAATATACCAGAGCACTCTGTTCTTCTTAACAAGGCCTCCCCTCAGGAGACTGTACTACTAGAGCCTAACCCAATACCCGACTCCTGCCCATTCTGGACGTCCGGTACCACCCAGGAATGGGGGTGATGGAGACAAGCTGGGGAAGTGCACGGTTGGGAAGTCCGTGCCCCCCCCAAGACAGAGGCCTGACCACAGGTCTGTAAAACTCCACCCTGCTCACAGCTCACCACCGGCTGCTGGAGGCCGGCTGACCACGGTTCTTTTTACCCAGCACGTCAGTGTCTGCCTTCCATAGAGAATTATAAGGCGTACTAAAGGCAAAAAAAAAAAAAAAGCAAAAAAAAAACAACCAAAAAAATACCGAAACAGTTTGAAGAGACTGAGCAAGCACCAGAACCTCGGTCAGATATGTCAGGAATAATCAGACCAGGGATTTTTAAAAACCGTGATTCATGTGCTAAGGGAAAAAGCAGAGCACATGCAAGAACAGATGGACACTGTACACAGACAGGGAGTCTGAGGAAGAACAGAAAAGAAGCTCCGGAGATCAAAAACACCGAGGCGAGGAGAAGCGCCTTCGGTGCATTCATTAGGGGGTGGGGCACAGCTGAGGCAGGGCCAGAGGCCTCGGCAACAGGGCCCAACAAAGTTAAAAATCACAGTGAGAAGAGCGTTTAGAAAAACCACCCAGAGCAGACTTTCCCAAGAATTGTGAGAGAGCTCCAAATGGCAAAGCATACACGCAACATGAATATATAAAGGAGAAGAAAGAGAGAAAGGAACAGCAAAACATTGGCAAACCAGATCCAAGAACACAGAAAAAGAATGAATACCATACCACGAGTGGGAGGGGTTTGGCCCAGGCACCCAAAGCTGGTCCAGCGTTCGAAAACCAGTGCAGGTAACCCCATGTCAACAGGCTACAGAAGCTGTAACAGTGACAGACTAATGATTATAGCAACAGATGCAGAAAAAGCATTTGAACAAATCCAACATACATTTATGATAAAAACCCTCAGCAACCTGGGCATAAAGGGGAACTTCCTCAACTTGATAAAGAACATTCTATTAAAAAAACCCTACAGCTGGCATTACACTTCAGGGTGAGATTCCTGAAGGTTCCGCGCTGAGACCAGAAGGGCGTGGTGTGCCCTCTCACCAGTGCCTTCCAACGCTGAGCTGGGAATGCCAGCTAATGCAGGCAGACAAAAAGAGCACAGAAAACATATGAATAAAACAGTCTGCTCACAGATATTGTGATTGTCTATGTAGAAAATCTAAAAGAACCAATTAAAAAAACAATAAACTAGGAGAGCAAGGTAAATATGCGAAAGTTAATAGCTTTCCAATATGTTGGCAATGAACAAGTGGACTTTGAAACTAAGGTATAGCCATTTTATTAGTACCCAAGAAA